ACACAGCATAGGAGATATCGGGACGAGTAGCAGAGAGATAAATTAAACTCCCCACTATACTCCGATACTGTGACCCATCCTTAAGTCTATCTCCTGAATCACGATGCAGCTTTAAATTGAGTTCCATAGGTGTCTTGACTGGTTTGCAGTCTTCGAACTGATAATCCCCTAGAAGATCGGTGATATACTTTCGTTGACTTAGGAGAATACCTTTGGAGGTGCGACTGACCTCTAACCCCAGGAAGTAAGATAGTTCTCCTAAATCCTTGATACGAAAAGCGGATTTGAGATCGTCTTGAAGTTGAGGGATTCCTTTAGCATCAGACCCTGTGATAATCATGTCATCAACGTAAAGCAAAAGAACCACAATTCCAGCTGAAGTTACCTTGGTGAAAAGAGAAGGATCATTCAAACTCTGTTGGAGACCAAGACTGCAGATAGTCGACTGGAATTTTTCAAACCAGGCTCTAGGAGCCTGTTTAAGCCCGTAGAGAGAACGATGCAGAAGACAGACTTGATCAGGACGGCCGACAGTGTATCCCAGAGGTCTCTCCATATAAATTACTTCCTCCAAGTCACCGTGGAGAAAGACGTTCTTTACATCCATTTGAAGAAGCTTTCAATCCTGTAGAGCAGCCACGGAAATTAGAGTACGAATGGTGGACATCTTGGCGACGGGAGCAAAAGTTTCGTTGTAATCCACCCCTTGCTCCTGGGTGTAGCCAAGAGCCACTAAGCGGGCTTTATGTCGTTCAAGGGAACCATCCGGAAGAAGCTTGATGTCATAAACCCAACGACATCTTATTGTTGGCGGACATGGTACAGGGCGATCGACAACGGTCCAGGTATGATTGGCATGTAGAGCTGCAAATTCTTCATTCATTGCGTTATCCCACACTGGATTACCGCGAGCTTGGCTGAAGCGAGTTGGGACGATATATGTACCCACCCCATGCGCCACATAGTCTTCATAATGAGGGGGAGGGACTCCCTTTGTAGTCCACAGAGATCGCCGAGCAGGAGGGGCCGATACAGGAGGTGGCGATGCTTGAGGAGTACTCTCGGTACTAGATGAGGACACAGGAGGAGAAGTGTTGCTGGTGGGCGCTGCAGAGGAGCTGTCATAAATGCTGGCGGTATTAGGAGGTGTGGCAGAGGGAGTAGTGGTCGAAGAAGTGCTAGCATGCAAGCTGTCGGCGCTGTAAGGAGTGGCAGCTGGGGAAGAAGTTGAAGCACCGCTGGTCTAGCTGGGAGAAGTGACAGGGGGGCAAATCATCATCAGAGGGCGGATCCTCGGGTGTGAGCAGATCAAGATCATCATCAAACACCGGCAAAGGAGACATAGGAAAAGGAGACTCTACTGACTTGGCTTCCTTAGCATAAAACATGAGATGTTCAAAGAACACGACCGTACATGCAATTCTAATGCGTTGAGCAACAGGATCGTAACAAAGATAACCTTTGTGAACGTCACTATACCCTAGAAATGCGCAACGCGCAGTCTTAGAGGTCAATTTCGTGCGTTCACGCTTAGTTAACAGAACAAAACAGAGGCACCCAAAAACACGCAAACGAGAATAGTCCGGGTGACGAGAATACAAAGCATAAAACGGACTCTGATTTTGTACAACAGGAGTAACCTGGTAATTTATTAGCCTCACCGCAGTAGCAACTGCCTCAGGCCAAAAACGACCAGGTATGTTAGACGCAAGAAGCATAGCACGAGTGAGCTCGACAACATGCCGATTTTTCCGCTCAACCAGCCCATTTTGCTGAGATACTCCGGGGCACGACATTTGACTCAAAATACCACGAGACTTATAGACTTCATGCAAAGGATGAGAGCTAAACTCACCACTGGGATCAGACCTAATAATTTTAACAGTATGATCAAACTGAGTCTGAATCATATTTAAAAAATCCACAGCTACAGAACGAAGTTCAGATTTCACATGTAAGAAATATATCCAGGTAAAACGGGTAGCATGATCAATGAACAGAGCGAAATAACGAAATCCTAGACGAGATATAACAGGTGAAGGTCCCCAGAGATCGGTATGAATAACATGAAAAGGCTCGGAGATAACAGTAGTACTTAATGGAAAAGGAATAGACGAGGTTTTGGCTTCAACACAACTCGTACAAAAATGATTTCTAGACTGACTAATAGAATGTTTACCAAGCAAATTTTGTTTAAACATAAAAGAAAGACGACTTGAATGGGGATGACCTAAACGTGCATGCCATAGTTCCCAAACTTTATTAGCAAGACTAGCAAAGACAGGATTCAAACTAGAACTAGGCTCACGAACAACACTACTAGACTGAACAAACGACCGAAGAGATGATGATGACTGATCTTGAAGCTCTTCTAAGTGGAACACCCTTCCCCGTTTACTCCCTCTTCCGATCTGCCTCCCCGTCTTCGTATCCTGTATAAGACAGCCATTTTCCGCAAAAGTAACAGAACAACCATACTCAGTCAATTGTCCAACCGATACCAAGTTTGGAACTAAATCCGGAACATGCAAAGTTTGATGAAGATTAATGCTAGGAGATGACACATTCCCTACGCTTTTGACGTCCAACTTGGTACCATTAGCTACCATTAACCCCATGTGATTAACAGGCTGTATATCATTTAATTGACAAGAGTCTGAGGTCATGTGATTGTAACAAGCCGTGTCAAGCAACCAGGGGGACTGACGTTTACCTGTTCCATGGAGAGTAGCAAAGGCAGATGTAATGGCTGTAGGAAGTGACTCCTGAAGTGCTGCCACCGCTCGTGTTAACTGCGCAATGGATGCATCCGAGGAGGACCCTGCTCTCGAGCTGCCTGCTGTGTCCGAGACCACTCCAAAAGCAGGACGGGCATGGAATCCTTGTGCAGGTCGAGCACCACGAACAGTTGGGGCTGTCGCATCTCCGCCTACATAACGTGTTGCATTTCTCTCCCTGGTACGACACTCGAGTACATAATGCCCCATTTTCTTGCAGTAGACGCAGTAATTTCGGCGGCGGCAATGCTTCACAAGATGTCCCTTCTCATGGCAATGGTGGCATTCAAGTTCAGAGTTTGGCACTCTCCTGTGAAACTGTGGTTTCTCCACTACGTACGCATTGAAATCTGCTCGAGCATTAGATGGGTGAGATGAGATAGCAGCAAAGGTTTCTCCAGCACTTGCCCTGACATCAAACTGCGCCTGGGTTCTCAGCCGAATTTCCTCACTGATAAGGTGTGGAAACACCCCAGTCAAGCTCAAATCATCTCTATTTAATAGACTAGACCGAACATGTTCAAACTCGGGACGCAAGCGCGTAAGGAATTGCATCAATCTTGTTTGTTGTCGTTCACTGATCATCTCATCGGTAACAGCCGCGTTGGGCCACAAGGCCGCATTGAGCAGATCCTGTTCAGTCCAAATCTCTTGGGCTGCATTGAAGTATTCCGCAATGGAGCGGTCTCCTTGTTCCAGCCGGCTCAACGCAGCTTGGATCTCGAACTGGCGTGCCGCGTTGACAGTGGAGTAGAGAGTCGATAGATGGCGCCACATTCGATTTGCAGTGTTGAAAACACGGAGACTTAAACAAGTTGGAGGATCGACAGAACCCAACAACAGTGACCTCACACGAGCGTCATTTTGATTCCAGTCAGATACTGCCTTTTCGGTAGCCGCAGCGCCGGTCGGCTTCGGAGTTGTCCCATCTAAAATACCCAGTAGACCTTTCCCTTCGACACATAACCGGAATTGAAATTCCCACAGAGCATACGTTGTAGGAGTTAATCGAGCAATGCTCCTTTCAGAATCGGTCGCGGTTGGCTCTGATACCATGATAGCACACTGATAAGAAGATTCAATAAATCGAAAACAGAAACTGAACTCCGGATTTACGTGGTATCCCTGGATAACCAGGACTAATCCACGGAAGAGGGAAAGCTCTTCTAGCTACTGATTTTACTGAGATCTGATTTTGAACGGCGAACAGAATACCCCTAACAGCTAGCTATCTCCAGCTATATATACTACTGTGGCCGAGCCTTCTAGGGCAAGCTCTACATCAACGTGCCTCCCTAGTGCATGGGCTTTCATGGGCCATTAATACGTAAGGGCTGCTAATTACAAGATGGGCTAATCATAAGAAAGATACTAATAGCTATCCGCTAACAACAAGAAGCCGTTTTGATGAAAAGTATGGCTTACTTCGTTGATTAGATTCAACACAACTTTGTTAATGAGATTTTAGCGAGATATTGATATATGACACCTAGTCACCTACAGGGTAGATGAGTGATTTTGACAAAATAGTTTAGATATGTTTGCGTATTTAGTTTGTGGGTTTAACTAGAAAATTCGCAATTTGCTTGCTTTTATAACGAGTTGTTGTGCTATGTTCTGAACCGCGTTTTGGTACAATGTAAAATGTGTATAATAGGCTATAGACAGTATGCAAAGAAAAATACAGTTGCATTTATTAATTGCATGGTTGGTCACTGATATTACAAAAAAACGTTCAAGTTTGGTCACTTGAAATATTTAAATCTATTGGTGGTACTTCAGTTTACTGAAACCGTTCACATTTGGTCACTCTCCGTCCAACTCCGTTAACTTTTGGTTAGGTGGCAGTCAACTCTAAAAGTTGAATGTTAAATGTGTAACGTTGCAATATAAAAATAATTAAATAATTAAAATTTAATTTTGTAAAATTTCCACCTCATTTCTAACTATTAATAAAATAAAATAAAATAAAATAATTAATTATTAAAATTAATAAGAATCCTCTCGTCTCCACCAAGGCAGAGGTCCTTCATCCCCTCCCCGCCGCCGTCCACCGCCAAATTCTGCTCCGTCAATGTGAACCTATTCCTCCTGGTCCTCCCGCTGATCCTCTTTTGCCCCTTCTTCTTCCTCACCTCCTCCGCCTTCGTCGATCCTTTCTCCGCCGCGTTCGCGCCGATCGCCTCCTACTTCCTCAACCTCTCTTCCGCCGGTGATCGTTGGGTACCGCGGTATTCTGAAGCGGCGAAGGAGGTGTTGCTAAACCGGTCGAGGATCACGTTGTGCCTGGTCGGCGGAGCGCGGCTGTTCGAGCTCACCGGTCCGTCGATCGTGAGGAACGTCCTGCTCCGGTATCCGAACGTCGATCTCTTCCTCCATAGCCCCCTCGACGAGAACGCGTTCAAGTTCTCGCTCCTCAAATCCGCGCCGAGGATCGCCGTCGTTAGGATCTTCAAGCCCGGTTACATCCCCGAGACCGAGTCGTACCTCCGAGTTCTCACCGCCTCAAACTCGCCTAACGGCATCCAGGTATTTTTTTTTTCTTTAACGGATGATCGATTAATTTAATTAATTAACCCCGCCGGAGGACCTCCGTCTCGACGGAAGAATGTACTCATCCTTCGCGGAGAAGACTATGAACTCGAGCGGCGGCCGCCATTGAGATTCTTCAAAGGAATCTATTAATTATATCTAGGACGCAGCGTCGGAGAAGAGAGGATTCGCGGTTTGTTATTAATTTTAATAATTTTTTTTTTTTTTTAATAGTTAGAAATGAAGTGAAAATTTTAAAAATTTAATTTAATTTATTAAATTATTTTTATATTTCCACGTCACACATTTAACAGTCAACTTTAAGAGTTGACCGCCACCTAAGCAAAAGTTAACGGAGTTGGATGGAGAATGACCAAACGTGAACGGTTTCAGTAAACTGAAGTACCACCAATGAATTTAAATATTTCAAGTGTCCAAACTTGAACGTTTTCTGCAATCTCAGTGACCAACCATGCAATTAACCCATCATAACTGAGAGCGCAAGATAATTTAATTGATACTAATAAAAAAAGAATCGTGAAAGTAAGAACTATCCAACAGTTTTGTGATATGAAGGAAAAGTATTATTCTGCAAGGGCTGAACATTGCCTTTTTCTTTTGGGTTAATACCTTGTTATGGCCTGAACTATGACCAAGTAATCAACTTTGGCCAGTGGTTTGAGAAATTAACATCCTGGCCCGATCTATGCAGCATATTGACAAAATTGGCCTGGAGCGTGGTTTGACCGTTTGTTTGGACGGTCAACACCGTTGACTGTTAGTCAACTGTCCAGGTCACTGCCATGTCAACATAAAAAATTACAATTTCATTTTTCTTTTTATTTCATTTACAAAAATTGAATAATTAAAAAAAAAACAAAATCCAAAAATTTTGGCCCACCCATCCCCACCTTATCCCCTCACCTTCTTTCCTTTTCGGTCAATCCCTATTCCATCTTCTTCCTCCTTCTTCCCCGACGAGCTCTTTCTTCCTCCTTCTTCCTCCTCTTCCGTGGCTCTCGAGGTTGAAATTCTCACTTGCTTAGGAAGATCCGAAGCAGATGTGCTGTAGATATGAAGTTACAGAAACATACCAGAAAGCTTTAAGCTGGAAAGTAAAGAGATGAACCCAAATCAGTAACCACTGACCAACCACAATGCCTCAAACTCGCGCGTAACGTTACAGCCCTCTCCATTTTTTTTTTTTTGGAAATGAACTATGTCATTAAGCACCACAAAGCCAAAGAATTCTTACAACTTACAAGCCAAGAGACTCGGTCAAAATACCACAGGAAACAAACAAACACCCAACAAAATAATCAGCGAAGTTCAATTGCAAAAGCAATTACATCAAACTAGACAGCCACCCAGGTAACAAAAGGCCATTACAAACTCTGCGCGCAATCATATCAGCATCCTTCACAACCTGTCGACGACGAAACACCACCTCGACATCCACCAAACTATCAAGGTTTGAACGAATCTGAGCAATAGTTGCACCGCAACTCAAAGGCCACCCGTCAACATCCTTCCTAAGGGCATCCACTACAAACAAACGAGCTGATATAGTCATACGTCGGGGAAGAAGGAGGAAGAAGATGGAATAGGGATTGACCGAAAAGGAAAGAAGGTGAGGGGATAAGGTGGGGATGGGTGGGCCAAAATTTTTGGATTTTGTTTTTTTTTTAATTATTCAATTTTTGTAAATGAAATAAAAAGAAAAATGAAATTGTAATTTTTTATGTTGACATGGCAGTGACCTGGACAGTTGACTAACGGTCAACGGTGTTGACCGTCCAAACAAACGGTCAAACCACGCTCCAGGCCAATTTTGTCAATATGCTGCATAGATCGGGCCAGGATGTTAATTTCTCAAACCACTAACCAAAGTTGATTACTTGGTCATAGTTCAGGCCATAACAAGGTATTAACCCTTTTCTTTTAGCTTTCATTTTACTTGGCATTTTGATCATAATATCAAGATGTAACGAGAGATTTGGCGTGATTGAGAGAAGCCATAGTGGCTGAAGAAAGGAGGGCGACAACGTTGGCGCCAGGGGAGTCCACAGAGAGGAGAAGCCATAGTAATATATTGTTTATGGGATTGGAAATTTGGATTGGATGAGTTTGATTTTTGAATTTGATTATTTTAATATATTGTTTGGTGAGATGGCAATGTGACATGACAATTTTCGATGGAGAGTTGACGGAATTACTAACTACTAAGTGATCGATTTGTTAAAATTGAATCGTAAGTGACCAATTTGTTAGTTACTGCAAACGTAATTGAACTTTATGCTATTAACCAAAGGAGGCAGATTCTGTGATGCAGGCACGGTACTAGTGCCGCCTGATTTTCAGTCGTTGGATTTATTGTATTTAATGAGCACCATTGATTGTTAACCACCATTTAACCAGAATAGGTTGAACCTATTATCTTTGGTTAAACCTATTTTATTTTATATTTTAATCGTTCACATAATAGCTGCAATCTCCGGCAATCAGATCTCTCCGTGAACCAAAAACTCAATCCCCTCATTTTCTTCTTCTGCCTTTCATCTCATCATTACTTTACCCCCCAAAAATGGCGACGCTGTGAAGATTTATACATTTTTCTTCAAAGTGCGGAGCGTCGTCGGGGAGTCCCACCACCAGCCCGGTCATCCACCTCCACCGCCGCAAGCCCTCTGCATGCTCCTCTCCCGTCGCACGGCCGCCGCCGTCAACCACCATCACTACCCACCAGGCCGCGGCGATGTACACGGGGTCCAGCAACAGGATCTTCCGTCAGATTCTAATAGCAGAAGAACGAAATGGAAGAATTTGTTGGTCCCTTTCCCGCCGCTAGAAGATGAACCGGGCCAAATTCCTGCATCCAATTTTGTTTTCGATGCCCGGGATTTGTTCGGCGGCCGACATTCGAACACCCAATAGTGAACTTGGGAGAATCGAGGGTGAAGGATCTTATCCGAGATTCTAGCTGTTGGCATTAGGGCTGGCAACCGGTCGGTTTCGGTTAAACCGAGACCTGACCAATGCCCACCGTCGACCGACCCCCCCAGCAGTCCTGGTTAGCCGCAAACCGCCCGCGGACCGGGCGGTTTTCGGTTTAGGTGCGGTTTAACGGGGGCAACCGAAAATGTTAAGACCGGTTTGGTTTACATGCATAACCGACCATAGGTTAGGCCACCGCCGTCCAAATCAGCGTCAAAAGTACGCCGCTTGCAAAAATCCCCAAACCGAGACCTTCATCTCCCCTTTCACCTCCTTCCACTCCCCGCTCGCAAAAATCCCCAAAATGCAACCAATCGTCGCCACCGCCGATGGGTAGATCTGCATCTCCACCACCGCCTTCGCCATAACTCTCAGTCCTCCTGGCAGGTCCGAGTCCAGAGTGTGAAGGGTGTTGTTGTCGACAACAGAATTTACTCCGGCAGCGGCGGAGGAGTGGTGGTTTTGCAACTCCACTGCTGCTTCGTCCATCGTTGAATTCTCCTTACCCGGTACGAGGTTGTCGAAGGTGAGCTGGATGAGGGAGAGGTAGAGGGAGTAGGCGGCGGAGGCGCCAACGGTGGTGAGGAATTCGATAGCGTACTTGTAAGTTGTAACCGGGCGGGGCGGCGTCGACGATGGAGGCGGCGGGTGCCGGGTTGTTGCCTGGGTTTCGAATCCCTCAAATGCGCGAGAAGACGAGAAGGGGGAAGGGGAAGTGGGCTGCGCGATTGATTTGGGAATTGGGAGGAGGAGGGCCGACTGCCGAGGTCGATTGCTTAGGGTTAGTGGTAGGGCTGAAGCGAGGTCATTTTTGGGGAAAGGGAAGGGGTTGGTTAGCCGGTTAACCGCCGGTTACCGACCCCGGTTAGTCGGCTAGCCGAACCCCTGCCCTTTCCCACCGCCAACCGACCGCTGTATCCAGAACTGGTTTTTCAGTTAACCGAAAACCGGTCAGTTCGGTTGAAACCGTCCGGTAAATTAGCTAACCGAAAACCATTCTGCCAGCCCTAATTGGCATTGGCTCCGCCACCCAAAAATCATAACCCAACCAACTTGTACCAACCATTCTAAATCAAAGCTATGCTATTTGAACCGGTTACAAAATTTTGTTTCTTGCTGCAATCAAGTATCACTCGTGGACCCTTGTCCCTTGACAAATTAAACGGTTCTCTAGAGAGAACATATGTGATTAGTCAATTTTCTGTTGACTTATGTCCTGATAAAACAGATTAGAATTGTATTAAATTATGGTTATCCGTTGGGCGGATAACCCTGAAGTAAAGGCTATGGTCTCTTATGTCTGGAAGGAGGAGATTCAAGGGACCCCTGTGTATCAACTGTGGGAGAGACTCAAGAAGCTCCGTCATTCGCTCTATGATTGGAGCAGGGCGGGTACTACGAATTCCCTCCGCAATATTAAGACTATCCAGGCGGAAATAGACCGTGTCAAATTGATCCTCCCGATTGACTGGGAGACGGTAAAAACGTTGGAATCTGAGCTGAATAGGCAATGGGAAGCGGAGGAGATCTACTGGAAGCAGAAATCGAGGGTCCACTGGTTAAAGAAAGGGGATAAGAACTCGGCATATTTTCACACGGTCACCCGAGCTCGTCGTAAACATAATTTTGTAGCGTGCCTTCGAAATGAAGCCGGGGAGTGGATCACTGAGGAGGGGGGTAAAGCAGATATTGCTTCAACTTTTTACCAAAACCTCTTCGCCTCAGAGTGCTAGGTGCCTAACATGAGAGACCGAGTGGCCGCTTTACCAATCGATCAGCGGGTCACGGAGGAGATGAATGCCAGTCTCACGGCCGTGGTCCTTCCAGAGGAAGTTAGAAGGACGGTTTTCTCGATGGGATCGAAACAAGCGCCAGGGTCTGATGGTTTTACAGGGAAGTTCTTTAAATCGTTTTGGAGCATTGTTGGCGAGTCGGTCATCGATGCTGTGTGCTCTTTTTTCTCCACTAGGAGAATGCTACGCAGCTTCAATCATACCTGGTTGACTTTGATCCCGAAAGTTGACAATGTGGACAATATAAAG